CTTTCCTTTCCTTTCCTTTCCTTTCCTTTCCTTTCCTTTCCTTTCCTTTCCTTTCTCTTTTTCTTTTTCTTTTTCTTTTTCTTTTTCTTTTCTTCCTTCCCTTTTCCCCTTTCCCCTTTCCCTTTTCCCTTCCCTTTCCTTTCCCCCTCTAAACTAAGCCAGCAATTTTTCCATCAATCTCCTTTTTCTTTCCTCCGTTCTCCTTCTGCAATTGTAATATTGTTGTTATAGTGCTAATTCCTCGCTAACAATACACTCGGTACAATTGTTTCTGATAATATAAGGATTTCTTAGAACACCCAAACCACAAATAATTTGAACTGTGGGATCAAATCAATATTTAAAAAACAAACAAAAACAAACTAGATAATATTTCAGAAGTTATTCTGAGCGTTACTACGTTTGGATCACATAGGCAGGGCACTCAGAGTACTTGGATTTATAGCAGGTTAATATAAATTCGGTTTGTTAGTTGTAACTGAGGAAGAGGTTTGAATAAATAGCCGGAGCTCGTGCTTTGGGCTTTGGGCAACAGTACGTTCAACACGCTTTGCTCTCTCAGCTCAGAAAAGCCTGAAAGCGCTGGAGCTGCCGAGCTGCGGTTTTTGTGTGTTTTGTTTCCTGGTTTATTTTTCTTCCTTTCCTTTTATAAAGGAACGAACGCTGTGGTTTTTGTCTCCAACAGCGGCTCCGGGGAGGCGGAGAGGGAGGCAAACCTACAGCCGCTTCCAGACTTTGGAGCTGGAAAAGGAGTTCCTGTTTAACCCCTACTTGACCAGGAAGAGGAGGATCGAGGTCTCCCATGCGCTGGGACTGTCCGAGCGGCAGGTCAAGATCTGGTTCCAGAACCGGAGGATGAAGTGGAAAAAAGAGAACAACAAGGACAAGTTCCCTGCCACGCGGCAAGAGGGGAAGGAAGGAGGCGAGGTCAAAAAGGAAGCCGACAGGGACCTCGAAGGACAAGCCCCGGGCCCAGCAAATTGAGCTCTTCCTCCTCCTGCTCCTGCTCCTGCCGGGAACCTTGGCCAAAGACTTTGGAGCATCAAGGGACAGGACGGGCACTTGTCTTGGCCTCCACAACTTCCACCACGGTTGGGACTGCTCTCAAGGCACCTTTTGTTGTCTTTGAAACTACCTTCTGACATTTCTGGTCTAGATGAGAGTTTGGCTTTTGTTACTGCACGGGGCGCCTTAGCTCGACTCCCAGATGGCTACTGCTGCACTTTCTACATTTTTTATTGTCCTTCCTTCCTTCCCTCCCTCCCTCCCCTTGGACTTTGATACTAAAAAGGGTAGCAGTTTTGTTTTGTTTTTTACCTGTGGATTTTTACTGGGGATTTCTTTTGTCCTCCGAGGGCAGAATGTCCGGCCTCTCCCAATACTTTAAGAATCAAATCAGCCAAGTGCACTTCTTACGATTGTTTTAAATTTTCCAGTCCCCCTTATTTCTCGTAAAGTAAGTTAATTAAGAAAGGAAATAATTTGTGGGCCGATGAGGGATGAAAGGAAATATTTTAATTAAACACTGATTTTTCATTATCGATAATCATAATAATTAAAAAAAATCCGACGTGTTATTCATGACCTGGCTCCTTCCTTCATACCTTTGTCGCTTGTAGAAGTAGCCGAAGACAAGCAGGCAAGCTAACGGAGGCATTTGAGCCCCGTTTCTCCGAAGGGACCTCGAAAGCGCTTTGTTCCGCGACCCCCTTCCCGCGTTCATTGCCCTCGTCTCTGGGAAAGCTGAGCCTGCCTCCGAGAACCAAGCCGTAAGCCCAGCGCCTGCGACGGGAAGCCGAAGTCCTTCCCTTCCCTTCCCTTCCCTTCCCTTCCCTTCCCTTCCCTTCCCTTCCCGCAGGTTTCGGGAGGAAAGCGAGGCCCATTTTCTTTCACACGGTCCTGTTTCAGGTAAACGCGTTTCACTGTGCACGCTGCAAAGAACAGCTAGATTAGTGCTCAACGAAGGCACGATTATTAAGGCCTCCAGGCCTCTGTCCGGCAAGCTGCAGGCCCCCTCATCCCCCCTAAACGCAAAGCCGCCTCGATTCCAGCCGGAAGCGCCGCGGGTGCGAAGGTCTGCTTCCGATTGATTTTCATGGGATTTCAAAGCAAGCGCTGATTTCCTTTGATTTGGGAGGGAGCGAACGCCGACATACCAATGCTGACTTCTCAGAAATGTGGGCTGCTGAGACTAATCTTTATCCCTAATGTTACTTTTGCGTTAGTCCGGTGTTGAGAATGAATGTATACTTATTCATATATTTATTTATTCATACACACACACACTTTCTTTCTCACCAATAATGGAGCTTCTGTAACATTTTCGGCAGGCTTATTCATGGTTAGTTAAGGTGGCCATGGTTTATTAAATGAACACAATGTGCTGGATTCGCATGACCCACTGAACTATAAATTGGGCTGCTTTTACCAATACGCTGGGCTAAAATGAGGTTGGCTAGTTTGTGCTCAGTTTATGCCCTGCAAGATGCCCACCCCACACACACACACACACACGCACACACACTTTCTGACTGGCTCCTCTTGAAGACAAAATGCTGGATTTTGGTATCCAGCAAGGCAGTCCAGGTACACATCCAATGTGCTAACCATGCATAATCTATCAAACCTGAGTGCACATACATTTCTACAGTTCAAGATGAATTAGAAGCTTCATTAGAAACATGATCTGTTTTTTTAACTATCACATTAAGCACTCAGATATTTCCAAAATCAGTTATCCCCTATTTATAAAACACTTGCTGTTCTTAGTCATCCTAGCTACTAGGAGAACTGCTGGGATTATCTTTAACTTATTTTGGGAGCAGCATTTTCATCTGATTTGCTTGGTACAGTATCTTCTTTCTCTTTTTGGTGTAAAGAGCAGTCCAAGTACATCCAGCTTGTATTGTAGGAGGATACCGAGTTGTTCAGAAGCCTGGTAGTGAATAAGAAACAAAGGAACATTGAGGTGTTCTTACACACTTTCTCCTTACTGTAGCCTTGCCATCGGGAGGGACCAGTATCGTGGATTCCTGCATTAGGATGTGTGTGGAACAGAGAGCCTAGCTTGCCTGAAACCATCTAAAGGGTTCTGGAATAACCGAGTCAAGATTTGAAGGCGATCTGTGTTAAGGATGGCAACAAGATTCTGCCAGTCAGGCTCCTAACCACCATAAGTAAAGTGCAAACAGCAGTTAGCAACAAACAATTAGGCTCACCCATTTGTAGCAGTCCCGGGTCTCAGAGAGAAAGGGAACCTCTTTAAGCACCTTCAGCAAACTCTCCTCTCTGCTGGAGAGTGTGTGTCACCCATTTGTGGATAATAGGTAGAAGGTTCATGGATTCCAGAATCTGCCTAAAGTTGTCTCTGGTGAATCCATCCCCTCCTCCTTCTTCATCATTTAGAAAATGGAATGAATGTGCATGTATTGTATATCCAATAATTTATAATTCACAATAATATTACTGAGAGGTACTGGCCTGTAACCCTGGTTTTTCTGGTTTGTAAACTTGTACACAACTGTTTTATTTTACATTATTCTCTCTAATTCTTATTCTTCCCTCCACCCAACCACCCATGGGCCAATCCTCTCTCCCCACAGTAAAGGAAACACATATAAAAGAGCGCTTTTTCATGTCTCTGGCAATTCTCATCCTATCCTTCTTTTATTTCAGTGAGACTGTATGATGTAGTCCAAACCAGCATTTACAGCCTTTAACTTTAATGAAGAATTGGTCTTTCCACATCACCTAAGGAAGAAACTATTAGTATTCTCCTGGCAATTTTAAACAGGATGCTCTTCTGCCTTAAAGATGCAGCTAAGTTAAATAAAGAGGTTTCTCTGTCAAGAAGCCCCTGGCTGATTGTGGTTCAGAAGGCTATCATCTGAATAGCTTTCATTTCACAACTCCAAGATAATTGTTTATAATAGCCTTTCCTCAGCCAAGCCACAGCCCCATCTTTTGGAATTCCAGCACCTATCAACCCCAGCTGGCAGTCAGGGAGTATGGGAGTCACCCACTCTATCTAGAAATCAGAAGTTGACGCAGGTAGGCTTACGAAGTGGCCTGTACATAGAGAGCAGCACCTCATACAATGAGTTCAAGTTACATCCCTTTGAAACCAAGAACACATGAGCCAGATAGGAATTGTTCTTGTTCCACTGCTAAGAAACTAAAAATTGCCATATTTTCTTCTCCTTCTCCTTCCCACAGAGGTCAGAAGTCCTCCAAAATGGTAAAGGAGGGCAAAGAACAATCTCTGGCAACCTTTCTGATATGCTATACTTAGGAGCATTTTTAAAACTTAAAACCTGAGGGTTATTGGCCTGTGCACCACCCAAGTCACCATTTCTGCCACTTCAGAGCCTCTTGTCAGGGCAAAGTATCGGGACTATTATTAGGCACATTCATATAATTAATATACATCAATCTGTCCAATTTAACCCCACAGAGATATGGATTTCCCTGGAAGATAAGTTAGCAGGAACAACACCCTCCTGATTTTGGCTGACCATGCTGGTTGTTATTGCTTAATATAGGTTGGACTCATGGATCATCATCTTTTCAGATTGAACTCCTTGAAGCAGACTGAAGGCAGTCTCCCTCCCATTCTTCCTTCAGTTAGTGGAGCCAGAAGCAGCAGAAGTCTTTGGCAAGGAAGTAATAGAAAGCGGAGAGCTGCTTTTTCTTAACATGTATCAGTCATTCCCTTTTCTTTAAAAAAAAAAACTAGTTTGGGCTTAAAATAATGTTGCACACCCGCACAGTTCTGTGCTGTGTGGTCCATCTGCTGGGCCACGGATCGACTAGCCTAGCTAGGCTCTTTCCTGGTTCCAAAGGGGCCCCTCCCTCTCTGAACCCCCCC